CAGTCTACCAAGTGTAGGGTGGCGCAAGGTTCGATGTGGACAGAACTTGACTTGGCAGCAGGAAATGAAGTCACTGACGACCAAACTGGCTACCCTTGGTCCGTCTTGCATTCCGGGCTGGAGTCCACGTGACTCGCCTTGTGCTTGGCTGGAGACTTTACAGGACATGACTCGCAACCGACACCAGTGGTGCGTCTGCTGCCGTCTCCTAATCGGATTGCCTGTTTAAAGTGTATTTGGTGCTGAGTTATCTGCGTGGTAATGGCTGATTATGACGCGGGACAGTGAAAGCCGCAAGGAAACTATCTCGCCAATGCCGCCTTATCTTTGCACGATAGCCAGCTGTTTGTGACGGTACGTTGTTAACACAAGGTGTAGGCGTCTTGACCCTGAATGTTTTCTTAGGGCATTAAGGTTTTCGGGTAAATCCCCCTTCTCTCCCTCTTATTACTCTTTATTTCATAGGTTCTCAAGATTGTATGACAGCGAAGCATCAGTTCAAATGGCTGATGTACTGCTGTTCTTGATTGATTGATTGTGGTTGCTCGGCATCATCATTATTATACACCCTAGCTAGAGGTGGGAAACACCTCAGCTACTGGGCCGCAATACATAAAATGAAAAAATGCAACAGATACATGCCAGCTGAGCTACCAGTAACCGATGGGCATCGTTACGAAAGGCTACCAGCCGGCTACTGTGCAACAAAAAAATTATTATGCAAAGTTATATTAGGTTTAGAAGTGAGATCGTGTTTGGAGAAGGAGGCTAGGAGGGATGGAATGGGACAAAGAAACTTACAGCATGAACTCCATTCAGGTCGGCTGTTAGCCATATCAACAAGTGTATCCAGCCAAACATGTTCATCGTCTTTCGGACGTCTACAAGGGAGCCGAGGCGCTCCAATCAAGACTAGCTTTGAAATGGGGGCCTTCATTTCTCTCGACCAAGTCATCGTTTGGCCAACCTTCCTCTTCTTCCATCCACATTTCCGGACGCACAAGCAGCGCGGGTCGCGGGAGTCAGTGGGCTGGCATGCGTAACACGTCGCCGAGCCATCGGAGCCTGGTGCGTGAAATAACGGTGCAGAGCGGTTCACTTCCTTTTTCTGTGCCGTAAACAAGACGTCGAACACGTTGGTTACCCACTCGTTGCTCCCACTAGATGTGTGCTAAATTGCGAAGGCACCGGTGGTCGAACCTAACTAGCCCCTTTATGTTGGTTGATCTAAGGGGCCGGGTGGTTGTTCGGCTGCGAAGCATCAGTTCGATTGCCTTATTTACTGGTATTGATAATGACGATGAGAAACCATTTAAGTTCGCTGGCTTTCCAACACCGACTTAAGTTTGAGGCTAAGCATTTCGAATGGCGTTTTATCTTGCTAGCAGCCCCGATGAGTTCCAGTTCATAATCCACAGTGTTCTCTATAGTCTAGACGTTTCACCACCACCCGAGCTTGAGGTTACTTGTGACTTTTGCCTCCTACGGCGTTACAAAGCGTCTGCTTATATGGTTTCTGTCTGGCCGTTTCCAAATATGGTAGCTCATTGGCATCATAAAAAATGCTTGGAACCGATCGAAAACTTATGGTTTCGGATATATAGCTCCTTACTTGTTCGCGAGTTAACTTCTCCAAGAAATGGATCACCGATGCACTCTTGTCCGATTGTAGCCTATCGGATATCGGGGCCTTCTTCAAATGGGGTACTCGAACCGACTTGCACTAACCGGATCAGGTTCCAAATATGAAATAAGCTCCCGATCAACAAACGTTTTGTTTCTCGTGCCGTCAAGCAAACCAGATCCCTCGGTACTTCGACCTTTGAGTTGCTTTCTTTTCCTCTGCAAAAGTAGTGAAAGTAGAACAAGAGTAACCATCGCAGGGTTAATCTCTCCTTTCGTTACGTCCAAAGTACTCTCTGCCATGCTTTTAGGGAGCCTCTGTAGTGCGCTAACAATGCATACGCAAAGAACAAGCTGGGTTTCGCTCAGGTCGGCATGGGGCTCGAAAAACACTGAACACGTTTAGTAGTATGCACTTGTTGACCTGGCGAAAGACCGAGGTTAATGGCGTTTGTGTTTTAACTCTTTTTTTCTCCTCTCCCACTTTTCTCCTGCGTGCACCATCTCACGCTTGATGCGTGACGTGAAACTAAACATTACTTGTTTTTGGTTTGTAGTTTGTAGTGCTTGGTATCGCTTTCATATATCTTATATTTTTGTATTGCAGCACAATAGCTGAGTTGTCTCTCTGTCAATCGTTTTGGGCTGTGCTTTGCACCATCGAAATGTAAAGTTCTTCTCCAAGATTGGCAGGGACCCACTCCTGCACTGACCCTTGGCAGTGATAATTTAGAAGTCGCCGAGAAAGTTAAGTATCTGTGCAGCTATGGCAGCGCCAGTGGAGCGGAAACTGAGATCACGAACCGTATAGCAAAAGCTCAACACGTTTTTGCTAATCTCCCCCATCTGTGATGCCGGCTTGACGTTACTCTCACTCTGAAGGGCAGCGTTCACAATGCAGCCGTCCGTACAATCCTCCTGTACGCTTACGAAACTTGGCCCATCAAGTCGACAGACATACAATGGCTAGTTACGTTAGATCATCGCTGCCTTCGCTCAAGTTTGATAAGGGCACCGCGTGAGCAATGCACATGTTCGGCGTCGCATATTTGGTGCAGGAAGAGCGAATGTACCGCTCAGCACCGTTATATCACCCACTAAGCTCCGATGGCTCGGCCACCTGTTGCGCATGCCAGCCCAACGACTCTGGCGACGTGCATTGTTTGCGCTCCGGGGGTGTGGATGGAAGAAGAAGGGTAGGGCAATCGAGGAATTAGCCGAGAGAAATGAAGTCTCTAACTTCCAAGCTGGCGTTGGTTGCTGTTTTCCGACTGTCTGGCTGGGCACCGAAGGGTGATAAACATATTTGGTTGGATACGCTGGCCGACATGGCGAAGGGTCGACTTCAATGGCGTTGGTGTTGTGAGTCTCCTTGTCCCTCCCCTTCATTTTACCTTTTATCTCCAACAATGATCAGACATGTGATATTGGTCTTGTTACTGTTTTATATCCTTAAGTGCACATTGTTTAATGTCTTGCTTTTTTGTTTTGCCTCACGTTAGCTGAGGTGTGTTTCTCACCCTCGGCTAACATGCATTGGTGATAATGATGTCTCTCACCTTTAGTTAACGGTTACTTAGGATGATGCTCTGGTCGGAACTGTATTGATCACGGCTTTACGGTACACGTCGTACGTTCGGCCGGCCAACAATCGTTATCTTCCTGGATATGCAATCCGCGTTTGACTTAGTTGAACAAATTGCTTTCTACGGGTGTCTTTTGAGAAGGGAAGGGCCTAAGGTGTAAGATAACATTCTCAAACCTCGAGTCGAGTGCGGGTTCGCGGCGGACTTTCATTCCCTTCAGTATCACAACTTGAGTGAGACAGGACTGCTAAGTATCATTTTTCGTGTTCAACCCCGCTACGGACGACAACCTGAAGAGTGCTCTGGATAACTGTGGCGTTGAACTGCTTCCGGTAGACCGACTTCACGATCTAGGGTATGCACCTGTTACCGCCGTTACTTGAGATTCCTCGCAGGCCGCCCAAATTACACTGCGTAGGTTTGAGGTCTCTGTCTCAGTTCGGAATGGCCATCAAACATCTAAGTGTAGTCTTTTTGTAAGACTGGCTAGGAACTGTCCCTAATCTGTACTTCTCGGGTCATCCTTTTAAAGTAGTAGACAAGTCCGTTTACATGGGATGCTGCATCAGTGTCAGCGGTTTAACGGATAAGGTATTTTTGCGTCTCTAAGACTTGGGTTGCTTTTGCTTACCTCCCTATTTGTCGTCAACACGCCCTGAGCCTCGCTCTGAGGAGCCGAGTTTACAGTGCCACTGTGAGAATGGTTCTGCTCTGTGGCTGCAAGACAGGGTATCACTGCAGTCTGTTAACAGGATGTTTGTTTTTGTTCATCTCTATCTTGGGAGCGATTCTGTTGTACGACGGCATTACATTCTTAATGGTGATGTTCACCGACGGACTTTCAGACCAGAAACATTTCTTGCTGTTACACTTACGTCGGTGGCTTAGGCACGTGCTTCACATGCCAGCTCAACCTTGCTCCGCTCTCTTTACGAGCGCTGAGGTCGACTGGGAAGAAAAGCAGAGTGCTCAACGAACGATTTGCGCCTAGAATACAAGGGGCGCGAACCTCAAAGCTAGCCTTTATCGGGCGCTCTCAACTCCCGGACTTGGGACGCAAGGACCACAAACATGCATGGCTGGAATCCCTACCAGGCATGATAGGAATTCGCATTCAATTGCGGATATGTGAAACATTAACCTCCCAGTAGCCCTTTCTGCATTTTTTGTCCTCTATTTTTCATATGTATATATATATATATATCCGTAGCCTGAAGGTAATGAGCTTGTTTTGTAATCTGACGGCGCGCGTTCTAGCCTGTGTCAGGGCAGCGAGACCCTCGCAGTATCCTTACTTCACGTGCGACCGGTGGTGGTTACGCGGCAGCGAATCGTCGGTGCTGCGTACCGGTTTACTCCTGATGTCTTTTCTTTTACTTTTCTTGGCCAAAAACAGAACAACCAGTAATGGCGCATGTGGATAAATACAATATAGTATATAATGGGCGAAAAATTCAGCAACTGTTACCTGGGGAGTTAAGATCTCACATGTCCGCTATTGAGTGCGAATTCTTACCATGCCTAGTAAGGTTCCCAGCCATGCGCTTTTGTGGTCTTCGCGTCCCCAGTCCGAGAGTCAAGAGCGCCCGACAAAAGCTAGCCTTGAGGTTAGCGCCCTCGTATTTTAGGCCCAAATCGTTCGTTGACCACTTTGCTTTCCTTCCCAAACAATCTCGGCGCTCTCAAAGAGAGCACAGCGATATCCGTGCCTTCACACAAACCTCGATAGCTTACTATGTCGCTGTTATGATTGACGTCCAACCACTCATGGAGTTTTGTTTTCCATTCTAGCTCTAAGACCTTATATACCTCGTAATTCCGGACCTGACGCATTTTGCATTTTGTTCTGGTCCCTAATGGATTTACCTTGCGTAAATGGTGTTGTCGATAAAAAATCGAAAAAGGAGCTGCGGAAGTTAAAGCGAGATGTCCAAAGACCATCTGGGTTAGATGGGTCTCAGGAGGTGGTCATGCTTTCGGTTGATGCCGACGGGGGACTTCAATCGATCTCAGAGCCTTACGGTCACTTGCCCCTCCACCAATCACAGTACAATGTTGGACCTGATTATGTGGAACTTCGGGATTTAAACAAAGAGGCGTTTATTGACAATCACTTATGGATTCGAGGACGATTGCACCGAAGCCGCATGAAGGGAAAGTTGTGCTTCTTCATTGTCCGCTTTCAAGAGTTTCGTGTTCAAAGCGTCCTGTCCACAAGTGAGAAAACCCCGAAAGATATGCTAAACTTTGTTGCTAGGTATGTTCAAAACGTTGTCAATTATGACTGTCCAGTGACATTAATGTTTCTTTCCTATCCACCATATGACTTTCTTCTTCTGACTTACTTATTCCGTTGTGGTTAACAGACTGTTGTTCTTGCGCAACCAAGGTTGCTAGGTTGACTTTGTTTGTAGACCTTTCGACCGTTCAGCCTGGCACTGCCGGCGGTTTGAGTGTTTATTCTCATAATTCACTTTTGATGCTCTGCCGTTCTCACCATTTGATGTCCTACGGTAGGTTACCAGATGTTCTTATCTCGTTAGTCAGCGTTCATTTTATTGTCTGTGCCCTTGTGTAGTTGTTCCATTCGGTTGAACAAAGTGACCTTGATCACCACTTCCTTTATTGCTTCTCGTCGCCATGCACACCTCCCTGCGACTATAGGTGGGCGATCAGTTGTACTAATTTTTTATGAAACCTGCACATATATGATGAACATATGAAAAGAAAGGTAATATGTCCTGATATAATATTGCATAATTCATCGACGGCATCCCCAACAATAACCTATAGATCTTTCCGTAAAATAGTACATTCAGTCAGCACCGGTGACCGATAGACTGTCGTTATGTGACCGATGCCCATGGCTGTCCCAGTGAGATAGATTTCGTACTGATTTGAGCTACTCAAAAAACACTTCAGACGCAGCCTTATATATATTTATAGTTATTCCCATGTCTGAGAACCATGGTTGTAATGGTATGGAAAAATGATTGTTCAAGAAACAAAGCAATTAAAAAGATTGAAATTTGCGTGGAAGGGAAATTTTAGAGCAGCATTGAGGCCACTGATTTCGATTACAAACCATAGCCTCCAAAAGTTCCAACCGTTTGGAGTCCCCATCACGTGATCCCCAACCTGGAAGACAGCCATATCCTGCTGATGCCAAACATGAGGTGAAATTATTGATGCTCATTTTTCACATCGGTTATCCGCCTCGGGCTTTCAACAACACGCCCAGGGATTGCAAATAATACGCGGTGAGGAAGTCGATTGGCTGGTATGCGCAAAACCTGACAGCCAAAGTAAACGGTGATTGAGAGTAACGCTTTGGAGGCCAGGATTGTTCGCTCCGAGTACTCGACTTCTAACTTTCGAGTTGCTTACATAGAGCGTGCGTTAGCAGGCAGCGTTCGTCGAAAGATGATAGTCGTTCCAGATCTGTGCGAGTAGGCCAGGCCCGTCGCAAGGAGACTGAATCTTAACGGAGTGCGACGGTTTGCGTACCTCTGACCCATTGAGCTATACTGGGTTGTGCCTCCGGGTCCCTTGAGAGCTACTTCTACCAGATTGGTCAATGGTTAGAGGTCAAACAAACTCAGTCTCAGGGTCCTCCAGGTTGGTGGTTGGATATGGTAAGGCGTCGATTTCTGTAGAATCAAATCGTTGCCACCTCCTCGCTGCCTTGAGGATGGGCTTTTGAGCCAAAGCCTTTGATTGCGGACCCTAATTGTCTTCCTATCTATGTCTGGGCCCCCCAGCAGAACCTCAGCATACGTTCAGTCAGTTACGTTCGACTATTGGTGCCTTCGCAGTTTGGCTCACATCTGGTGGGAACACCGCGTGAGTAACGAGCGTGTTCGACGCCTTGTTTACGGCACAGGAAAAGGAACTGAACCGCTCAGCACCGTCATTTCACGCATCAGGCTCCGATGGCTGGGCCACGTGTTGCGCATGCCAGCCCATCGACTTCCACGACATGCGTTGTTTGCTCACCGGGGATGTGGATGGAAGAAGAGGAGGGGTGGCCAAGCCATGACTTGGTCAAGAGGAATGAAGGCCCTCACTTCGGAGCTAGCCTCGGTTGGAGCCTCACGGCTCTCTGTTTGGGGTCCAAAAGACGGTGAACACGTTTGGCTGGATACACTTGCTGACATGGCAAGGAGTCGACCTCAGTGGCGTTCCTGCTGTGATTTTCTTTGTCCCTCCCCATCCCTTTTAGCCTCCCCCTTCACCTACGATCTCATTTCTTAGCGTAAAACAATATTTTTTTCTTTTTGCCTAGTATCTGGCTGATAGCTTACCGGAACGATGCCTATCCGTTGCTGGTAGCTTAGCTGGCATGCAACTTTTGTATTCATTTTCCTTTTTCATTTATGTATTGCGGCACAGTAGCTGAGGTGTTTCCCACCTCTAGCCGACGTGTATAATGATGATGATAATGTTCAGTCATGACCACTACCTCAACCTTCAACCACATCCTGCATCGACAGTCGCGCAGTTTATCAAGGGTCGCCTTATCTGCTGCATACAGCAGTGCGAACAAGCGAAAACATGTTACTGCTAGCGCCTCTCTTCTTTCTTTTCCATCTCTTTCTCTTACTATCCTCATAACTCCATCTTTCATCTAAACTTCTCAGCTTAATTGACAGCAACAAAAGTGCCACTGGGGTAGAACCATGTACAGCGACATTCCAGCAACAACCACCGAACGCCTATCGGCGCTGTCCCGTTTCCCTGGCGGCGTTCAGCGTTCGCACCTTAAGACAATTAGGTCAACAGGATGCACTCACACGCACGTTATACACACTAAGTATTGACGTGTGTTGTGTGTCCGAAACTAGGATCAATGATGCTCACGGGGTTGTTGAATTAACTGCACCCGGTTTGCCCTTTCGCTATTGGTTGTCGCATCCAGTGACGCTGATGCAGCATTCACGGGTCAGGCTGGAGTGGGTATTGCTCTCAGTTCCAAAGCTGAGCCACCGTTTCTGTGAGCCAGTTTGACGACATCAACTAAGGTTGATTCACCAGGTGGTACAAGATGCTATTTATTTGTGTTTTCCGCTTATGCTCCCACCGAATGCCGTTCAGATGCTGTCAAGGACACATTCCATCACGAAATGAACGTGCTACTGCGCAGTGCTGCTACTTCGGATATTATAGTACTTCCACGGGATATGAACGCACAAATAGGACGTCTGAGCTCTTCAGTAGCGTAGCTGGGTGGTAATTATAGACTTAACTCCGAACGGACTCACAACAGCGAGTGTCTGCTGCAAATAGTTACGGAACACCAGCTATTTCTTAGCAACGCTGTTTTTAAGTACGTTGGGCGCCCAAGTGCCTGTTGGCGTCCTTCTGTAGCTGGCCAGCGATGTACCCAGATTGACCACATTGCCATAACTTACAAGTGGCGTGGTTCCGTCATTGATTGCCTCGTTCTGTAATATCTGACCACTCACAGAAGTGAGTGGTCAGTGGCTCTATAGCCGGTCACATTGTCCGTGGCAACGCTGTATGTGCTATTGTGGTATTTACTGGAAAGCCAGGTGGCCAGCCCAGAACTCACCACGCTCAGAGACACTGCCGCTGATTGTCCTCGACCGCTCCTTCATCTCGTATGCAAAGCAAACGAGGCTTATTTGCAGTTACCCCACAAGAGAGGCATTCACCGGTCCGCAACCTGGGGATGCACTCGATAGCGTACAGCTTTGTACGTAGCTTCCGCTCGTGGAAACCGTGTCTCTGCAGACTAACGCAGTCTCTTCAACGTTCGTAACTTGATTAGCAGTGGAGCATGAAATACGGTATATCACAGTTAGCTGTTTGACTTTAGTGAGAGTAGGGGATATTTTCGCTCTCGGTCTTCTTTTTAACCCTTATATGGGAGGAGGTTCAGTTGTGATGCAGAGGCGTGCGTCTCTGTTGCATCTCTTGCTGCATAACGAAAAGTCTTCATTCATTCTTCCATCGACTTCGATTGCTGCGCTATCCTATAAGCTCGCCTGCGCATTTTGTAACTATTGTCAGACCCACCGATCTGTGTTGTGTATCGGTTGAAATTTTATGTAGAATGCAATGCATTTCACAGTTCCATCTGTTGGTTCCAAAAATCTAACCTTCCAATGCTGGTTTATTACTTTTTAAGACATTTCCCGTCAGTCAATGCCGTTTAGACTTGTTGACTATGCCACTCATTGCAACTTATGACCTGGATTTTCGCATTTGAGTTTCCACTGACCTTAATAAATGGTCAATTGATCTTACTTAGAATGAGAAGCCGGAAATGCATTGTTCCGCCCTGACAACTACCTTTCCTTCTCTCCGTTTCGAAGTTGCATGACATCATCATATTTAACGTCATCATCATATCGACATCATATTGAACGTCTATATTTTCTTCCGTCAGCATACCGAAGGAATCCATAGTTGATGTGTACGGTTGTTTGAAGCGTAGTCCTGTTCTGATCGATGGATGCAATCCGGATAATGTCGAATTGCAATGCGAACGGGTTTACGTCGTCAGTGCCGCTCTCCCAACTTTGCCCTTGCAAATCGAGGATGCCATGCGACCAGACGGTGATGAATCCGTATGTTTCTTTTTGGTTATATTGTTGTGCATCCTATCCCTCATTAACTTATCTGCCGAACTTTATATTCTCAATTGGTAACATTTGCATGCACGTCATTTGTGCGTGCAGGTGGTACACAAACCCTCCACTCGCAATGTTGTTGCACAGGCACTGTACAGACACCCATCACTCCTTCATTCACTCTTAGATTATGCGGTCGAGTTATATTACTGCGTGGTATAATCACCCCTCCTTGTCATATGCAAACGCCTAGTAAACGTTTCAATTTACTTCAACTGAACAACTATGATCTGGGCACCGGTGTGCTGTGAATTTAATTGGCACGATTTACATCGCCAGAATAGCAAATAACAGCGGCATGAAAATTGGTTGCATGCAAGTAGAATGTCAGGAAAATGGAATCAAGTAGATAGAGCCTTAAACTAACCGCAGCTAGATGTAAAAAAAACGAAATTAGGAACGCCACCGACTACGCGACTGCGTCATGCCTAGTAGAGTCTCTAACCGCAGACGTGGACAATCTGGGGGCCCTCATCTGGCTGCCTGATCGAGTCTCTCGGGCGCTTTCTTCATGCTTCTGTGCCACGTTATTGACTGGCCAACTCGCGGTTTCGCCCATCTTGATCAGCAAAGACATAGAGCGCACGCCAAAGAATCTGGTCACTGAGCGTATGGAGGACATGGCCGAGCCAACGTAGGCGTTTGAGCTTCAACCGACACTAAGGCACTTGAATCTTCTGGCCAAAAACCAACTCGCCGCCTTCGCACCTTAGCTGGTGTCTGGTGGGAACACCGCCTAAGCTATGAAGGTGTTCGGCGTCGTGTATTTGTCGTAGGAAGAGCGAGTGAACCTCCCAGCGCCATTATATCACTCACCAGGTTCCGATGCCCGTGCCACATGTTGCGTATGCCAGCACACCGACTCCTGCGACGTGCGTTGTTTGCTCGCCGAGGGTGTGGGTGAACGAAAAGGAGGGGAGGCCAATCGATGACTTGATCGAAAGGACTGAAAACCCTCAATTCCAAGCTGGCTTCCGTTGGTGCATCCCGACTGCCTGGTTGGGGTCCGAAGGACGATGAACACCTTTGGTTGGACACACTTGCTGATATGGCGAAGAGCCGGCCCCAATAGCGTTTGTGTTGTGAGTTTCTTTGTCCATCCCCTCCCCTTTAGATCCCCTCTCCAATTATGATGCCATCCCAACTTCCTAATATGTTATGTAGCATTAGATCACTTGCTTTTCGAACTTTTGCATTCTGTTTCTTATCTTTTTAGTCTGGCGGCACATTAGCTGAGTTGTGTTTCTCACTCTCAGCTAATGTGTATTGATGATGAACTGGCGGATCTCAGCATTGCTCACCCGGTGTTCCCAACAGACGTGAGCAATACCCCGCAAGCACTGGTGATCAAATACGGTCAAGCTTTTAAGGTTTTCGCCGCGAACTGGCTAGGTCTCTGATCCATACCGTAACACTGGCCTTATCGCAGCGTTATACACCCTACCTTACACTGACAGTCTGATACCAGCCGTCTCCATGGATTGTTGAACGTAAATTAACTTTCTCAGTTGTGTGACCACCAGAGTTGACACAGCAACCAAAGTTAGCCGACGCACCACTTCCACTGGCTGTTCGGTGGTAACTAGAACCGATGGCATGTCGGTCAGATCCTAAAACGGTACCTTGCATATTGAAAGTGCAAGTCTCATACCAGATTGTGCGACGCTACACTCCAGTCTATTCGGTAATGTTTGCATAGCCACTGCGTCAGACCCAAGAAGAATTATGTCACCCGCATACTCAATGTTTGTCAGCCGGTAACCTAGTAGAGCGTCCACTCCGGTAGAGTTTATATGGACCCAGCCATTCATAATCATTTCGTTCACAAAATTGGAGAGAAAAGATATAGGGCAACCCCGGCGAACCTGCAGTGGGAAACTCAGGAGACAGCTTTTCGTTGATCCTTACTCGGCCTCGGGATGCTCGGCAGAGAGACTTCAGGATGGAAAACAGTTTCCCTAACACGCCCTTCACCGAAAACCACTGCCACAACCCGATACGATCAACAGAGTGAAAGGCAACTTTCAGGTCAAGGAAAACCACTAATCGGTCTTCTGTACATGTGCTTGTTCTAACAGATGATGGAGAGTAACTATCTTGTCGATATAGTCATGACCAGGGCGAAAGCCATCTCTCAAGAGGACTAGTAGATCCTCCATGGATAATACCCTTGCGAAGTTTGGAGGCAATAGAAATAAGGCTACTTCGCACTAAGTCCGTTGACCCTTTTTACAGATGGTCAGCATAGTTGACACTCGCCAGTCTGAAGGTACCACTTCAGTGCCGCTAATAGTGTTGAAAAGAGCAGCGAGTCCTACCGACAAACAGTCACCTCTATCTTTCAGCAAGCATGTAGGAAGGTGGTCGGGTCCAGGAGTCTTACATCGTTTCAACCGGGCAAGTAAACAAGTGGGAAGTATGATGTCAATTTTCCATATGGGCTCAGGTGATTCAGCAAACGACAGAGTCGCAGCAAGCCTGCTGATCTTCTTTTCAAAATGATTCGACGCGGCTGAGTATGGATCAACTGTCCATCTTTCTGAGTTGTTGTCTCGTTAACTGTGAGCCTTCTTGGACCCGTGTTGAGAATGTGCTGGAACAGCACTCGACTGCTCCCCTTAACATCAGCTTTCTCCATCTCACAGGCCCTTGATACCCACCAAACTACCTAGTCAATTCGACGACTCCTTGTCAGTTGTCGTTTCAGGGCGTTACTGACACGCTGAAACTCAATACCAAATGGAATCTGTTTGAGTGCTTCGATCAAACTGATCAGTGCCTCAGAGATCCCTATGCGAAGCCACAAATGTCTGTTTAACAACACTGTGACGTGGCGGATATGACTCGCCACTAAATAAAGTCACTGCTTCCTGCCTTTCCGGAGGATCTTACCCCACTCATGGACGTCAGCCAATTCGAAGATATTATTTGATCCCTTCCTATGTTGGCGAATTCACCGAACACAACCACAAATTCAGCACAACAGTAACAAATTCACTCAACATGATTACTAAACCATGCACTTACATATATACATAAAACATAACTCCAGTATGTACTGGTTACATAGTAACACTTGTGACAATTACTGATTATACGCTCTGTATTACTATGATCATGCCTTTTTAGGCGTGTCCCGCACTGTCGGGAATAAAACATTTATTTATTTATTTACTATCGCTCGTCTCATGGTAGGCGCACAGTAGGCGTCAAAAGCATTCTTCGTTGATCATTTGAGACGACTCGACTCAGGAGACGTATTCACCAGTGATAATCGGTGAGCGATTTCCTCATCTTGTTGTTGAATGTGCTTCTTTGAAGCGGGAAGTCTGACCACCATCCGTGTGCCCACTAGAGCGTGGTCAGAATCCAGGCACCTGCTCCAAATTGGCCGACAGTCTTGGTCTGATGTGCGCCATCTATAACTTGTGGCAGTGTGGTCATTTCGGGTCCAGATCATAGAGGAATTCTGTTGGTGCCAGGTAACACGGTGTGAACGTTTGTGCTAGAAAATCATACTGCAAGTATAAACATCGTGGTCGGCACATGGTTGCAGAAAACGATCACCATTGTCTTTTCTACGCATCGACCCCGAAGTGACCACCCAGGTGTTCAGAGCCCGAACTGCGACGCACTTGCACATTCATGTCACTAGCAATAGTCACCATGTTAGAGCGAACGTTTAGTTTATTACTGGATGTGTTTACTACAGGAATTTTACTAGTTCACGCATGGACCCTACTGTATAAATATGTGCGAGCTGCGATACCTGTTGTGTAAGTGATATGTTACGCAACACGCAGCAGCACCACGGTTTCCCCCATTCAGGTATGAGTCTTTTGGCAGGTCACTGGTCATTGATCTGCCAGATCTTATCAGCAGCAGGTATGTTTTCATGTGGTAAATCAAATTACTAACCTAGATATTGGGTCTCTACGCAGTCTCTGGAATTTCTGGATGCTCCCCGAGACATTTCAGCTGGGAGCGAACACGAGACTCACGAAAACTTCAAGGCGAAACTGCATACTCGCCTGAAAGGAGACGGCTGTTGGTCTCATTGTGCATTGGAGATGGAAACAACCGATGCTTTTGGTAACCATCACAACTTATTCCGTCTGATGCGTGAAATGAGCAGCAGAAAACTTGGTGTTAGCGAAACCATACATGACGAGAGTAGATAACCAATCCACAGCTTGTCAAAGCGCTTGGAGCGTTGGTTAGAACATTTTGCCAAGCAGTTTATCGGTTCTTTATCGCCCATCTCCCGCAGTAGTCCGGTGGACCCGCCCTCACACGCGGAAGTTGAACGTGAGATCAGAAAATTGAAATTGAATAAGGCCGCAGAAGCAAATAGGCTGCATCCAGTCCCCTTCGGATTCGGAAGACGTGCGCTTTTAAATGATTTGTACAATTTATTTTTGAAGCTGTGGGAGTAAGAAACTGTCCCAGCAGACTGGAGCCGTTCCGTTATAGTCCCAGTATCTAAGACGGTCTGCTGTTCGGCATGCGTTAGTAATAGTGGACTCAGTTTGATCTCAGTTGCCTCCAGGTTACTTGCCTCTGTCGTACTTCTTAAAGTTATTAGCGTTAATGTAAGGTAGATGCGCGAGGAGCAAGCCGGATTTCGTCGAAATCTAGGCTGCATCGACCACGTTTTTACTTTACATCAGTTGTTAGAACACCACCACATTTATCGGTGACCCAACTTAGTCGCGTCTCTAGACAATGTGCCCTCAACTCGCTTGACCGATTTGCTCTTTGGTACTGTTTTCAGTATGGTTGTGCCCGATAGATGCGTGAACATTATCAGAGCGCTGTATGCGCATATTTCCGACAGTGAGAGTTTACGGCGGACTGTCGCTGCCCTTCAATATCTTCAGCGGTGTGATAAATGGTTGTCCGCTGTCACCTTTCTTTAACTTTGCCATTGACAACCT